GAAATAATTCTTGCATTTTAAGATGTGTTACAAATTATGATTTAAGTTGAAATTAACGTAGATAATTACTGAGAGAATTAGAATTTTGCAGCATAGTTTACATGAGATGAGATTACTTGGGGTCACATGATATGAACCACCAAATCAGGATGTTGAACCATGAAAGCATAGTAAACTCTTAAATTAATGTCTTTTTACAAATTTATTGTCTTTACTTATTGGCTTTTTAAAAAATTTTAAACGATATTAAAATGTTTATACCTTCAAAATAAAAAATTCTTAGAACTAATATTTGTTAACATTTTTTATGCATATACCGTATGTTGTCGCCAATAAAGTCTGCTCGCTGAGATTTGCACCAGTGAAACGGAAAAGGATCATTTTATTTTTAACTAAGTGAATGGTCTTGGGGAAAAAATTGACCCAAACTGCAAGCAATACATTATTAGCTCTTCCTTTTCAAGTTTTAAGTAACGATTCGGGTTTTAAATGTATTCAAATTTGTATACCTCACATTTAGATAATAGTGAAATATTTCACATAAATTAAGACAATGAATAACATGTCCTACATTTTACACTACTATGAACTATCAATTTCAACTGCAGCTACACTGCATACAAAGATTGTTATTTAAATACGCTGGATTTGGCAAGAAGTCGCCAAATGTGTAGAGAATTGAAGGAATTGAATATCCGCGTGCAGTGTACTGCATAAAGATAACTTTTAAGAACAGGGTGAAAAGGTCGTTCTAGCCTTATATGTGTTCTCAGGTTAGCAAACTGTCGTTTAATACGATAGATGTCTTAAAAGCAATAAATGCACTGAACCTTTCAGATTTTCTTTTTTTAATATTTTTTTAGTTCTTGTAACTAATATAAGACATTTCTAATGTTATAATTGTATTTGATTAGTGGAACTAAATGGTATACGATTAATTAGTTGGTATAAGATCATTGGTTTCTTAATTTTTATATTTGTTTCACAATTTTAAAGTTTTAATATTTTTCCAACTCTTTAGTTGTTACACTGCAATCTGAAGATCTCAGTTTCCAGTCATTTTATTCATTTTATTTTTGATTTTAAACAGTAATCAGAAAGACAGGATAAAACATACTGTAGGAGTGTGATTATCTGGGCCTGACTGGGAAGTGTATGTGTCTTTGGAGATAATTAATACAGGATATAATTTTTTAAATGTCTGCTATAAAATATTGTCAGAGTTTTTTAAACAATCGCAAACTAAAATCAAAGTAACGTCTTTAAAAAAAAATAATCAAAAATTTTCCCCTTGTTCACTGTTTTGGTAGCAACAAGCTGCGTGAAATCTTAAAAATTAAGAGAAAATAACTTACTACCAGATTTTTCAAAATTTACATATTTTATTGGCACTTTTCCGTTTAGCCGGCACAGGCGATAAAGTCTTAAATAATGGTAGAACTGATGCCAAACGGAATATTCTCGCTGGTAACCTTTTACGCTTCATTTTCAAAACAAGTCGCAGCCATTTCTTATTAGGTTGATTGTTTCTTTCAATACTGGCATACAATTAATTACATAGAATTTTTACCAGATAGTTCATTTTTATGCCATAAGGCCATTCGTGGCAATTAAGTCAATTAGGATGCAATCACACCACTCACTTGAGAGCGAAAATATATAAAAGACAGTCATCAATTCTAATGAGAATGCACTAGCGAAGTAAAGCACTGCGGTTTTACATAACTTCTGACTGAATAAGCTAATCATACAAATTGAAATAATTCTTGCATTTTAAGATGTGTTACAAATTATGATTTAAGTTGAAATTAACGTAGATAATTACTGAGAGAATTAGAATTTTGCAGCATAGTTTACATGAGATGAGATTACTTGGGGTCACATGATATGAACCACCAAATCAGGATGTTGAACCATGAAAGCATAGTAAACTCTTAAATTAATGTCTTTTTACAAATTTATTGTCTTTACTTATTGGCTTTTTAAAAAATTTTAAACGATATTAAAATGTTTATACCTTCAAAATAAAAAATTCTTAGAACTAATATTTGTTAACATTTTTTATGCATATACCGTATGTTGTCGCCAATAAAGTCTGCTCGCTGAGATTTGCACCAGTGGAAACGGAAAAGGATCATTTTATTTTTAACTAAGTGAATGGTCTTGGGGAAAAAAAATTGACCCAAACTGCAAGCAATACATTATTAGCTCTTCCTTTTCAAGTTTTAAGTAACGATTCGGGTTTTAAATGTATTCAAAATTGTATACCTACATTTAGATAATAGTGAAATATTTCACATAAATTAAGACAATGAATAACATGTCCTACATTTTACACTACTATGAACTATCAATTTCAACTGCAGCTACACTGCATACAAAGATTGTTATTTAAATACGCTGGATTTGGCAAGAAGTCGCCAAATGTGTAGAGAATTGAAGGAATTGAATATCCGCGTGCAGTGTACTGCATAAAGATAACTTTTAAGAACAGGGTGAAAAGGTCGTTCTAGCCTTATATGTGTTCTCAGGTTAGCTTGTCGCGAAGTATACTGCATATCATTCCTTTGCTGTATAATTTGTTGTCTTAAAATTTTATAAGTATATATAAACTTGTGGAGTGCTTGTTGCATCCATAGTGATATGGGAATCTAGAATATATGTCTTAAGAAATTATTCTTCAATAAAATAAGGTTAGATGGTAGACAAAAATATATTTAAAATTTACATCAAAATTTTATTTTTTCTTTCAAAATTTTTTCGTTTGTTTGTTTTCTTAACACTTTAATGCTTTTTCTAAAAATGCTTGGTACTTTTCCGTTTTGCCGGCGCAGGCGATAAAGTCGCAGTAATGGTACAATTGATGCCAAACAGAATATCCTCGCTGGTAACCTTTTACGCCTCACTTTCAAAATAAGTCGCAGCCATTTCTTATCAGATTGACGTTTCTTTCAATACTGGCATACATAGAAATTTTACCAGATATTTCAATTAATATACCATTCGCGGTAATTAAGTGAATTAGGATGCAATCACACCGCTCACCCGAAGGCGAAAACATAGAAAAGTCAGAGGTTAAATTCGTCAATTCTAATGAGAATGCATTAGCGAAGTAAAGCACTGCGGTTTTACGTAATTTCTGAGTAAGCTATTCGTACGAATTGAAATGATTCTTGCATTTAAAGATGTATTCTAAATTAAGATTTAACTTGAAATTAATGTAGGTAATTACTGAGAGAATTAGATTTTTGCAATGTAGTTTACGTGAAATGAGATCACTTGGGGTCAAGTGATATGAACCGGCGAATCAGGATTTTGAACCATGAAAGCACAGTAAATTCTTAAATTAACGTCTTTTTACAAATTTATTGTCTTTTTACAAAAACTTTAAACGATATTAAAATGTTTATGCCTTCAAAATAAAAATTCTTAGAACTAACATTTGTTAACATTTTTTATTTTTGTAAATTGTATGTTGTCGCCAATAAAGTCTGCTTGGCGAGATTTGCGCTGGCGAAATGGAAAAGTACCAAATGCTTTTTTATTGTTAAGCCTTTTTCTCTTTGAAGGGATAATGCAAGATAAAAAAATTATGAAATTCAAAATTACTCACTTTAATTTGGCTATGTTCCTTTCCTATCTTAAAAATATTAATATATGAATCTAAAGTGTGTCATTTGAAAATTAATGTGTTTCATGCTTATGTAATCTCTGAATTAGATTAAAGAAATGATACCTGCATATTAATGCAACTACTTGGCACAATTAGGCAATTTTTTACAGATGAAAAGGTAAAAGTTCGTGGGTTTTGCAAGATTTTTTGAAAAGATTCCAAACTATCGATGTTTAAGTTGACAAACATCACAAAAAGTTAAAATATTTTAGTAATTTTAAGTACAATTTTAGCTGTTATAAGTAGGGATTTTGTGATATATTAAAAAAATAAAACTTGCATTCGTCTCTAACTCTTTCAGTGATTTTTTGCAATACTCTTTTTCGCAAGTACACATCCGTTTTCTCTTTAAAAAAAAAAATCGGGGAATTGCATAGACACTGGCAATCTACCAACATCAGATTCCATAAACCCATGCTTTAAAACTAAGTTTAAAGCAAAAAAATATCACGCTTTGATTATCAAAACCGTTAGAACTTGGAATACAACAAAAAGAGCCTATACAAAAATGGCAACGTTACTTGACTGAAGGTCTGTTGTAAGAATGGTTATGCATATGGTTGCCAGAATTCGGCCCATTCTGAAAATTTGGTGACTTAACTTAGGTGGCTAAGTACCAAAGGAATTTTTATCTATAAATACCACTGCTACTATTGTGTATTGCCTTTTTTTCCTCTACTCCACTCACCACTGCTTATACATGTTGCTTTGCCGTCATTATTGGAGAATGTAAGTTTTTAAAATTACGTGGGTGCATATTGCACCTGTATGATATGTGAACCAGTTTTATTATGAAAGAAAATTATGTTTTCAAAGATGTAATTATCTATCCATTTATCTATGCAGCTGTTTAATTTAAATCCCCAAGTACTCACATACATTGCAATATCACATATATTAATATTACATTTGATGAAACTATATTTTTTATTTTAAAAGATACTTACAGTGAAATTTTTATACATCACCTATATGCACGTGCATACATACATTCCTGAATCTGATCACCAATAGCCAAACAGTACTGACACTTTTTATTAAATAATCTTCCATTTTTAAAACACTTAACATGATGGCATACAAATTCAAAATGAAAAAGGCTATTGCAGTTAAATAATTTCTTTGGCACAAAAAATTATTTAATTAAACGGTAAATTACACATCAACTTTGACTGAAACACAAAATAATTCAATTTCATAACAGTTTAGGCAATTAACTACTGATCAAGTTCTTATTCTCTCGCTATAATCATGACATAAAAAATTCACTTATTCTTTAATCAGTACAGCAGAACAAAGCAATTATAATAAACACATATAATCTTACCTCATCTGCAAAATCTTCAGCAACTCTTAACGCTTCTCGCTGGTCCACCCGCGCCATTCTTAAAAGGCGTATAACTGAAAAACATAAGTAAATAAAACAGTCAAACCTTTAAACATGCTAAAAAACAAACTAATTTAGTAGTACAAACAAAAAAATAATTTAGTCGTAACGCAGCGTTATATAATGAAGATTACTTTCTCATGAAACGAAAGTAAAAGCTTAAATTCCAATACGAAAGGAATAGCTTTTTTTTTGAAAAATTGCATGTATAAATAATTAAAAAATTAAGCAATGTTTACTTAGGGTATACTGAATAGATCAACAAGTAACAAGCAATTGCGTGATATTATGTTCCTTGAGAATTTAATTATTTACTTTAAATATGAGCATATATATTTAATCATAATATCTTACAAGAAATTAATAATAAAAATATTAATGACTTATGACTTATGTTACGACACAGCTGCCATACACATTTTAAGGTAACACAAAAAAATACAGCAGTTGTTACACATTAGATCAATTGAAAATATAAATTTTCATACGAAATAAATCTAATATTAATAATAAAAATTCATAATTACAAAGTTATTTTAAGATATTTTACCGATATGACCAATGCCACGTCGTTTCACGCCTGTGATCGGCAAACTTTCGTGAGTAGGATAAGTTATAGTATGTTTCTCGCTGACAGCTTGCTTTCAAACAGAAGGAACGATGACCAGATAACACAGCCAAATATCCAAAACTAAATATGTTTTTTTATGCTATCATACTGAATAAATATAAATATAAAATAACGTTTTCTTTTCCTTCCGGATATTATATCATATGTTAATAAGATATATTAATAAGTAATAAACTGTAAAAATTATTTTTTCATTGTAATTTCCATTAAATATTTCTACGCAGTGGCAACAACAGTAAAGCAGCTAAATGAAAACCAAAAGCATTAATTAAGTCTTCTGAATCATAAAAGGAGAGTTCGTTACGTCTATTTTCTCGAAAGTATATTGTTTCTGTATGTATTTCGTCTAACAAAGTGTTGAATTTTATTTTTAATCATTTGGGACATTTCACATGTAGGTATTGTCGCTGTCAAGTGTCATTTAAATTTTACAAAATGGAAAAGTATTATTTTGTTTTCCACATACAGAGAAGTTGCAGATTTGCATAAAAAGTAAGAAGGATCTTTTCGAGAAAGTGTATTTTATGATGGTCATCTAGGTTTTATATTTAGCTAAATGATAAGGTAATTATATTTGTGTAGTAAATATTATAAAATTCCATTCTTTTGAATTAAAAATATGAGATTTATTATTTCATAATGTTTAGTTCATTACCAAGTGCTACCAAGATATATGTTAATGCGAATAAAACACGGCAGAAACATTCTTCCAGCACAAAGAAAAAACGAAAAAATGTTGTATGTACTAATTTTGCTTCTGAAGTTGGTGCTGGGGTTGATACTCTTATAGCATCTTCTATTGAAATGAAAGAAGACGATGATTTTTCATCTGGAAAAGATACTTCAAAAATCGATAGTCCTGACCGAAAATTTCAAAATTTCTCCAATGACGTCGAAAAAGAACTTAGTTTTGAGAAGACTGATAAAGATAAAATTTATATTGAATCAAATAATGTTCATTTTTTTAATAGTAGTTCTGTACCTTTTGCTGATAATATTGTTGATAAAATTGAGTGCGGAGAAGGTCAAAATGCCAATGATGAAGATAAATATGTATCTGATGAACTTGATGTAGAGCAGCTAACTCAGGCTACTAATGAGTTGCATGATTCTCAATGCATTAATCAAGATCAGTTATTTGATATGAATGTGGATGAGAAAAAAAATATCATTAGTAATGATTTATGTAGTAGACCAGTTGATATGGTATCTACAGATCAGCAAGTGGAAGATTGTATACAAGAATGTCAAAGTAGTAATGTTTTTGATAATGATGATCCTAAGTGTCTAATTTATACTACTGATTTATCAAAAGACTCTACTGGTAATGAAGATTCTAGTCTTGATGTTAATCAGAATGTTCCCGAGCTTGTTGTAGAAGCTGTTTTGCCTACTATATGTGATGAAGATGAGTCTGCTGTATTAAACGAAGGTTTTCATACTGTAGATTTTGATCTAAAATCTCCAGAAACTGACACTTCCATTCTTGTTGACTTTGATAATTCACATTATGAAAAAAGTGATATTACATTAGATGATTCTTTGCTTTCTGTGCAGTTTAATGATCTGACAAAAAATCTTTCATCCGATAGTGCTTCAGTGAGAAGTGATTGCTGTTTAGCTACAAACATTTATGATGAACGTACTGAGCTTATTGAATACGAAAATACATCTGATCAAGAGGAGCACTGCATTGGTGATTCTTCTATGTTACCACAAATGCAGTCTCCTGAGCAAAGTGAATTAAGCTGTACAGAAAGTGCACGATCTGAAAATAAAAATGGTGATACTGTTTCTGAGAGTTCTGTCTCATCAGGAAAACCAGATACAAGTACTTCAGCTACAACTGCTTCTTCTGTAGTGCATGAACATCAGAAAAATGGTACAACTACTTCAAAAGATATTGATCCACGTGTATCCTCTGATGGCAGTTTATACTGCAAAAATATTTTACCGTTTTCTGAAATATTTTCCCACTCATTGCCAAATCTGAGTATTGTAAAGGAAAGGGCTGTAAAATTTCAGTGTAAGAGTTTAAGTCATTTAAAGAAAGCTTCTAATTTTTCAGACAAATCAACAGTAACTACAGATATTCAATATTTCTGTGAAAATAGTAGAAAGGAATGCGAATCTTGTCAAAGCAGTAAAAAAGAATTTAAATTTGCAAATGAGGAAAGTGTTGAACAGAAAACAAATTCTGTAGACTCGCTGCTATCAGAAGGCAGATCGTCAACTTTCAAAAGTGTTTCATCAACTGTTACGAAACTTTTACCACCAGTTGCTATGATGCAGGCCAGATCGAGGTAAAATATTTTGCTGTTTTTAATCTTTGAAAATAAAATCATGAACTATAAAGTTCCATTTAGAATATTCAATATATAAAGTAAGGTGAATGATAAAATATAATATTACTGTTAGTGTTTGTTAGCTAAGAGTAATTTTTTCTATGAGGAAATTTAAAAACTATGTCAAATTGTATAAAATGTTCAGTGATTATATTTAAGTACATTATGGATATATTTGTTATTAGACTGTTAAATTTAATTTTTTCAGATTGGATTTTCGTTGCATTCAGAGCTATTTAAGTCTCATAGTTACTTAAATTATACACAGTTTTGTGATTGTCTTTGTGTTCCATTTCTTAAAAATATTAATTATTATACAGTATAAGTTTGAAATTGAATAGTGAAAATTAAATCTCCACATGATGTTGTCGCTTTTCTAAAAATACTGACCCAGAAATTTTAAAATTAGAATGTTTTGGAAAATAAAAAACGCAAATTTTTTTTTGGTTTTATTTTAGTGTTAAGAAAAGAAATATTTTTATTATTATATTTTTTATTAGGTATTCTTCTGTTATCAGGATGAGATTCAGAATTATGAATATGCGTATGGATGTATGTACATAATGTGTGTGTGCATACACACATGCATATGTACATACTTAAAATACATAGTATATGAACACATACATCCATACACACATGAATACATGCATGGTCCCAATAACAGAAGAGTACACTGTACATTTTATTATTTTTATTCTGTATTAGATTTGTTATTTTATTTATTTATTAATTAAAAATATTGGTGAATTAATTGCTTTATCAAAACAAATTGAATAGCAAAAACTATTTAGTATCTTAAACAAAAGGTTTAAACAGCAGCAAGGCAAAAATTATGAATTTTACCTCTGTGTTTATTTTCTTTAATTTATACATATAAAATAATGGGTAGAGTAGACTTTAAGTTACCCCTTGTATTATGGCGAAGTTGTTGTTTGATTTATCGCCAAGTCGTTTTTCATTTATGTTAGCCTGAGTAGTTGAATGTTATGGAATCCGTATTGTGACGTAATCGGGTGCATACCGTATTTGACGGCATATATGACGCACTTTTTTTCCTAAATTTGGTCTCAAAAAAATACCTTCGTCTTATACGTGAAGGTAATTGCATTCAATAATTGTTTATTTGGTTTTTATGAAACGTGAGAACTAAAAGAAACCATGCTATCAAAACTTTTTTTCCTTGTGTGTGGCCGTCTAAATAAGGGTGCGTCTTATATGCCGTCAAATACGGTAATTCTGGGAAATTTTAAATCATGGGAAGTTTTGTAAGCGTTTTTGTGGTGTGTGTTAAAACTGTTTAGATGGATTTGAATGGGTTTGTAGGAAGAAAGGTTCAGATGGTCACTGTGTGAAGCGTTCGATCAGAAAGAGTACCTGGTTTGAAAAAAGTCATTTGAGTATGATTGTTATTTTGATTTTTACGTGGCTCTGGATGTACGAAGCGAATTCGAAAATCATGGTAAGTGAATATTTGCTTTTAGTAGTGCTTAATGTATAACATGTTTTCCTTTTTATGTTATTTTATTGTTTGGTTTAAAATGTATTTTATTGAGATTATGTATTTTTTGTTTGTCTATATTGTAGAATTTGAATATGGGTCGACGTGTACATGGATAAAGTCAAAGGAGTGCGCAATGCGATTTTTGTGCAATTCGGGGTTTTTTTTTTTAAGTGAAAATAAGTCGATGTGTACATGGATACCGAGTTTGTGCAATTGCTTGTCTTGTTATTTTGGCTTTGTGTAGTGGCGATTTTTAGTGCAAAAAGTTGCTTTGCAAGCCAAATGACGAGTCAAAGAATTGCACAAAATTGGTATCCATGTACCACCAAAAATTGCCAAGTTTCGCCAAAGGATACCCTAAACTATACTTTTACCAAAATAATATGTATGCATATTCAGAACTTGTTTATTTGGTGTGAATAATTAAAATAGAATTTAAAAACTGAAATATTATTCGCTGTATAATATTTGTAGGTTATAAATTCAGAGTTACATTTTCTGCGCTTGGGATAAATTTGGGGAAGAAGGTGAAATTATATTATGAATCATGCAAGCTAGAATTATTTGTAACTATTAATGAACAGCTGCTTGCTTTCTCATAGTTACCCTGATCTCCTGTTGAACATTTCAACTGCTTCCTCACCAGCGGCATTTAAAAATAAAGCAACTTTCACATCTGAATCTTTTGAAGCATTTCCAGAAGCTTTCATATAAATCTGGAACAGCTGCTTGAATCTGCGCCAGTTTTCGGCCACATAGCTGTCGAAACTTAGGCCTTGTGGTGGGCGACAAATCCCTTCCTCTTGGTCTGCTGAGAGAAGGAAAAACAACCAAAGGAATTGCCTTGGCAATTAGTTGTTGTAATACTACTCCCACCAACTATGCCATTTTTATAATCATATTAATATTTCTTGATCTATAATATAAGTTCCAACACACGTTAGACATTCCAAATTACAAAACACTCACACTTCACCCACCAGACCAACAAGTGTGTGCCACATATATGTAACATCATTAGTTTAATTTGATGCAGGACACACAAAAAATTAGCATATTAAATATGTGCCTTTAACTTGTGTGAAAACTGGGGGGGAAAGAAGTGCAAAGTGGAGGAGAAAATACCAGAAGGCGTGCAGAAAGGAGGGAGAAAATACCTTGCATACTCCTCCTTTTAAAGGTTGAATGGGGAACCCAATCACCAAATCCTGGTGGTGAAACTCGTCATTCACCATCTTTAAATTCAGGTGCCACTATAGAGTCATTAGGTTATTTTGAAGTAGGAGACATGAAAAATGTGCAGTAATGTCACCAGGATTTGAACCTGGATCTCTCGAATATATGCTTTGATTGTGCTAACGTTACACCACAAGGGCATTCAGAAAGGAGAAAGAAAATACCTTATGGGTACATCTTTGTTCTGCGCTGATAAAAAAAAAAAAAAATAACTCTCTTGTGTTCAAGCCCAAGCCAAGCAAAGTTACTACTTTCAATGTTGTTTCAAGTTTACTTCCTTCAATGACACATAAAGTCGTAAATGCAGAAAGTAACAAGCTGGAAATTTCAGGCTTCAATAATTCTACAAAAGGTGATATCGACACATTTGATCGGATGAGCTGCCAAATGTCTTGCAGCTGAAAAACGAAATGGCTTCATTGTATTTTATATGCAATTTTAAATACAGCTTTAACAAATTCCTATGTTATCTATTGTTGCAACTCTTATTAGAAAAGAAAAGGAGTACAATCCTGATGAGAAATTGCGAGAGACGTATGTGCTGAATTGATCAAACCTTGGTTAGAGAAGTATCTTATGATTTCAATATTGAGCCATTCTATAAGAGATGATATATAGATTTCTTAATGTGAATGATATAAGACATTGTGAAGTAGAAAAGAAGTAAATTAAGAGAACTTGTGCATTCTTCCTTTATTCCGAACACCAAATGACCACAATGTACTGAAACATGTACTCAAATGCTAAATGGGATGAATATAGAAGAATTGTTTGTCTAAACTGTAATGAGGAGATGGAACAATTCTTTTATTTATATGTGACGGTATTTTCCCGTTAATCTTTTGATGTGAAATATGTTTGAAAAATTTTCATTTAAGCCACATTTTGAAGTAAAATGTTAGTAGTCATATATTTTACGAATGATTAGCTTCAACATTTCTGTGTAGTAAGCTTAGCTTTCGAGGGTTAAGCAAATGAGAGATTTGTAAAGTCATTATAAAGCACGTCTAAGACAATGTTGCCAAACAGTCTGATTAAGTACAAATAATGGAGAAGCATGACGTCAAAACACAGTCGTAAAGATCTTCATCATCATTTTATGTAAACCAAATTAATTCTTAATAAGTTTTTTTTTTTTTTAAGGATTTAACTGCTACAGTGCAAAGTCTGAAACCTGGACTCGTCAAACTTTGGTGGTTCTGGACTTGGGATTTTTCTGGATATTAAATCATCAGTTTAAATCTAGTAAGAATTTTTAAAATTAAAAATATGAAATAGTGGTTTATGAAATAATAAAGTATTTATGAACTTAGAGAATCAAAATTAAAAAAAAAGTCAGTGCTTGTTTCCTTTATTAAACATTTCTTTCATTATAAGTTGTTTAAGTTGCTTCTTTTTTTTTTTTTTGTTTTAATATTTTCTCTTTAATTCTGTAGACAGACATAATTTCTTGTTCAGTTACATTATAGAAATCATTTAATTGCTGTGTCGAGAATTCCGACTAACTTGTCAATTGAAATTTTTTCGTTTTCGGTAGCTTCTCTGTCACTTTCATCACTATCGGTAGTGATATTTTCTGGGTCTAGAACCATACTACAGATTTCGCCATTTATTAATTAATTGATGATTGAGAAGCATTGTCATCACAATGGAAAAACTTATTTTATATCATTTTCATTTATTATTTATTATGTTAGTTCCATTATTCAAATCCTGCAATTCCTATGTTGAAAATTTTCACTAAATTGTTAATCAAAGTTTTTTCATTTTCAACATCCTCCCTATTACTTTCTTTGCATCAGTAATGATATTTTCTGGATTCAAAACCATACCATAGATTTTGTCGGTTAGAGTAGATTGAAGGGTGCCCCTTGGATTATCACTAAGTTGTTTCATTTATTGCCAAGTTGTTGTTTCATTTATGGTAACCTGAGTAGTTGAATGCTATGGAAACCCTATTATGACGTAACTGGTTGCGTGATTGCGGTGAATTTGGAATGATGGGATGGATTTTGATACGTTGTTATTTTGTGGTTTACACGGTAAAATGGCTGAATGTTGTAAAATTAATTTGAAGTTTCTGTGCGATTTTGATCGAAAGAGAAAAAATCATTAATTGACAGGTGTGTAAATGAAGTTTTACTACAAGGTGTGTAAATGAAGGTTACCATTATAAGTGTCCTGTTTGTAGGAAGGAAATGCGTATGGTAGAACGTCG